TCGTCGCTGCGTCCCCGCCGTCGGCGCTGCTGGCGGCCGCCAGCGCCGGCGCCGGGGGGGGGGGTTGAACCCCCCCCCTTTGGTAGGGAACGGGGGGGGATTCGGGACGGGGGGGGGTTTGGGGGGGAGGGGAGTCCCCTTGGTTTTGATCAACGGCGCCGAGTGTTGGCCCCCCCCCGGCTCGAAATGCGCCGCCGAATGTTCCCAAGGCAAGCGCCCGTGAAACGCGTTTTCTCAGACGAAAGTATGCGGCGCTCAGGCGAGAGCCACATTTTGAAAACCATCCGCCTTTAATCTGTGAGACCTTACAATACTTCAGAAAGAATATACGCGGCGCTGAGCGAGAGCCACATTTTGCAAACCACCCGCCTTCCATCCGTGAAGCTTTTGCAATTGCCAAGCCGAGGGCCACATTTTGGAAACGGTCCGCCCTCAATTCGCGAAGCTCTTACAACTGTTTACAACAAATAAGCGTGGCGCTAAGGCGAGAACCACATTTTGAAAACCACCCGCCCTCCATGTGTGAAACGATTGCCAATCTGTATGCTTCAGGATCATAATGGTAAAGATCCTCAGGCGAAACGCCCGGCCCGCCCATCCGACCGGCCTCGGGGTGCGATTGGGGGAAGTTATTCAGAACGAACATGCATGGAGGTGGAGGAGGAGGAGGAGGTGGAGGAGGAGGAGGAAGAGGAGGAAACTGATAAGGCCCTTTGGGGGGGAACTTGGAGCCTCCTGTGGGTTCCTGGGCCTCTGGGGAGCCTCTTGAGGCGTCCTGGGGCCTCTTGAGGGCCTCTTGGAGGCTTTGGGGGCCTCTACGGGGCATCTTGGCTTTCGGGCCCGTGCTGGTGGCATCTCTGGGCTGTACTGGGACAGTTAAGGCTTGTCTTGGAGGTCTCTGGGCTGTGTTGGAGCGATACGGGAAGCCTCGCGGGCCTCATGGGCGGTCTCGTGCTTGAAAAGGCGAGAACGCGAGCACGCGAAAACTTTCCAAACACCAAAACGGGCATCAAATGGTTTGTGCCTATTGATGCCGCCTGGGGATCCTTTTGGGGCTTTCTTCTGGTGTTTTGGGATTCTTTCGGGTCGTCTTGAGACCACCTTGAGGGTCTTGGAGTGCTCTTTTGGCGACTCGGGCTCTCTGGGGCGATTTTGGGGGACTTCTGGGATCCTTCTGGCCCGTCTTGTCGACAGGCCCCGAGAGTCAAGCGGGGATCCCCAAGAACTCTGGCAATCCTGAGCCTGGCCCCCCCGAAGGATCATTGTATCCTCAGTACGTAACACTCTAACGGACTAGGTGTTGTGGCGCATTCTGTACACCTGTAGGAGAACGGTATCGAAGGTCTGGCCCCTCCCTGCGGCTCCGCAGTGCCAGGCTAGCCTCGCGGGGTCCAGGTGCTCCTCGCGGGTCTCCACTCACTGTTCGAGCTTGGCGAGTCCACGTGCAGGGGAAATTCCACCGTGCGACGTCGCTCGGATGCAGGGCCACAGTCGACCTTTCGAGTGTTTGCCCCACCTGGTGCCGAAAAAACTCTCACGGCTCCCCCCCTCTCCCGCCCCCAGCCCATTCGCCCTCGCCTTGTCGCGCTTTCCCTCTCCCAGGGTCGCTCGGTTCCCTGGCTCGCCCTCCCGGGTCTCCAGCATGCGCTCTGGTCTCTCTCCGGGCGCAGGACGTCGACGCCCCCAGCGCACGGGAGACCGCCCGGCAGAGTCGTGTCACGCGCAGAAGGGGGGTATGGGGGAGGGGGACGGCTTCTTGGCAGCATCCCAGCTTCTTTGAAGGCGCGGGTCTCGTCTACAGATGTAGGGCCGGCGCATTCTAAGAAGCAGTTTCCTTCTAAGAAGCCTTTCCCCCTCTCACCCTACCCCCCCGGCTGCGCGCCACCAGCAAAAGTTTACCAAAACTGATGAAGAGGCTCATTCTCGTGGCTACGGCCGCGGATGCCGCCCAGGTGCTGGCCTCGCGCGACAGACGGCGTGGGCACACCCTGGTCCCCTGCCGCTGCCGCTCTCCTCCTCCCCGGACGACAGAGAGTGTGGGGGCAATGACCTCCTTCGCCCGAAACCCAGAGAAGACCATCCCTCTCACCCATCCCTCGTCCCAAGCTCAGGGGAGGAAAGGGTACCCATACCGCTACCTGTCCCTCGTTTTTCCCTGTTTGGGCCTCTTGGGAGGCCCTCGTCGCCACCGCTGGATTCGCTTCGAAATTCTGGTCATAATGCACCCCGGGAGAGGTGCTGGGAGTAGCGGTATCCGTACCTCTGTGTTTCTACAGCGAACGGGGGAAGGGGAGAGAGCGAGGGGAGGCAGGAGTTGTAACACGTGGTCCCGGAGATTCCGAGGCGAACAGAGATACGGAGCAGAGCGCCGACCCGGCAAACCCCAGGACGCCGACGTGGCACTGCGGGGTGCGCGCTTGGAAACGATGGAGCGTCGAACCAGGAAGCTGCGAATGTTGAACACAAAAACGTGCCAGGCTGAACCCTGAACCTCACGGACCCAAACGTGGGAAGCGATGGGCCATCGCACCAGGGAGCCAGCGGTAATATTGAGTCAAGGAATTGCCCAGACGAGGAACGGCGGGAGTGTGATTGGGAAGCGGAGGCGAGTGGCCAGAGGAAGAGAAAGAGAAGGGGGGGTGGACGGGGAAAGGACGGCCCCGACAGTCAGAGGAGGAGGAGGAGGAGGAGGAGGAGGAGGAGGAGGAGGAGGAAGAGGAGGAGGAAGAGGAGGGGGAGGAGGAGGGGAATGGGGAGGAGGGGGGGAGAAGGCGTCTGGCGACGGACAGAACCGGTTCGACGGTGTCAGGGTAGTGTTTCGGGTTGCTGGCATTACGGATCCGAGCATCCTGGCTGGTGGTTGCCTCGAGCTTGAGGGCCGCGTTTGGGCTCGGGCGTCTCGATATTAAATTGTTGACGCTTCGCGTATCCCCACCAGCCCATCCAGAAACGATGCTCAGGGGAGTTGAGGTGATCAGGGAAGTCGGGGAGCATGCAGAATAACAAAGGGCGGGGGAAGCTGTCACAGACCCCGAGAGGGGGAGGATGGAAGAGGAGTCGTCGTCGTCGTCGTCGTCGGAGGAGGAGGAGGAGGAGGAGGGGGAAGAGGAGGAGGAGGAGGAGGAGGAGGAGGACGGAGAAGGAGGAAGAATCGGAGGAGGAGGAGGAGGAGGGGAAGGAGCTTCTTGGGGGTCTTTTGAGGGCCTCTTGGAGGGCTTTTTGGGCGCCTTGGGGCATCTTGGGCGCCTCTTGGGACCCTCTTGAGGCGCTCTGGGGAGCCTTCGGGGCGCTTTTGGGGCCATCTTGGAGGGAGTCGATCAAACAAGAGGGGGGGTTTAATTAGCGCCCCCCCTCGGAAGCCCCTAAAATCGCCTCTTGGACCCCTCTTGGAACGCTCTTGGAGTGCTCTTGGGCGCTCTTGGGGCCGTCTTGGGGCTCTTTTGGGGCTCTCTTGGGGCCCTCTTGGGCCATCTTGGAGCCATCTCCAGGCCTCGGATGGCCATCGGAAGCGAAAAGGCGAGAAAGCAAAAATCATTGATTTTCCTTAGGTTTTGGGACGATTTTGGCCTCTTCGGGGCCTCCTTGGGGAGCTGTTTGGCCACTTGGAGTTATCTTGGGGCCGTCTTTGGGCTTCTTGGAACCATCTTAGGAGCCATCGTGAGCGATCTTGCGCTATCTTGAGCCATCTTGGAGCTCATCTTGGGTTCTCTGAGGCGCTCTTGGAGCCGTCTTGGGCCATCTTGGACGCTCTAACTACCCGCGGCCCCCCCCGTCCAGGTCCAGGGGAGGGGGTAGGGGGAGGGGTAAACCCCTCCCCAAGGGGGAAGAGGGAGGGGTGGAAGAGGATCTGCTCTAGACCACCTACGCCCAGAGGGCTGGTGGGATTCTCCCATTCTCTTGACGTGCATGCCGTGCGTCTTTGCAATCATCACTGCCAAGGTTTGGCGAGTTGCGAAATGCTGCACCGACCGAAAAGCGTGGAATCGAACACCTGGTCGAAATGCTTGCCCACAGTTTACCCACCAGTCGAGGACCGAAATGACATTCGAAGCAAGCCAGTCAGCAACCAGAGCAACCAGCATTCCAAGCAACCCAGCCACTATTCGGCCCACAATTCGTGAATGAATTTCGGCCTTTCCATGTTGGCCCTCATTTGGACATCGCCAAGGCTGGTGCCTTGAAACATTTCGGGCATCGCTTGAGTCCACGATAGGCTTCTCGTTGAGACCTTAGTCACAGTTTTCGGGCTTAGCGCGAAGTCTGCCTCTCAATCTTTGCCCCCGTGCAAGACAGTCTGGCGTTCGTCCTACAGAGACTCTGATCGGGCGTCGCCACATAATTATTGGTTTATTCCCCGCTGAACGATCCTCCAATGAACTGCAGAGGTGCTGTAGCCACCATCGCATCATGCTAGCAGTACGGCAGGGGACTCAGGAACACTGAAGTGAATGGCATGGCCGTGTTGCTGTGTCGCTTAGTCCTCTTTCTCTTCCTCCTCCTCCTCCTCCTCCTCCTCCTCCGCACCTGTGGTGGGCTGCCTGTTTTCCTCGGGAATTTTGTTCCAACTCTGTATTAATGAAGCTTTGTCTTGGGTCCTCGCGGGACCATGCCTCGACCCCCGATGACTCGCTCGATCGGTCGGTCTTGAGGCTTAGCCTGACGCACCAGTTGCACGCTATCATATCTGCGCATCCTGGTTCTGGGCCACAGCACTTACTTCGTT